AAAGATATCGTACTTGTCAAACAAGAGGACGATGATCGTGTATAAGCCGAGCGGACGGAGTGTCAACCCCGAGGCTCATCTCCAGAGGTGGCTGGAGAAAAAGAAACTCATCCACAACGTGGGTAAGCTACACATACATCAGTGGCCCTCATCTGTGTTCTTCCTTGATATAAGCTGCTCATACTTAAGACACCTTAACTTCAGTTTTTAACTTGAGACCTAACCTGAGGCCCCTTGAAGGCATGGCCTTCGCCTGCATACTGCATAGTCGGTCGACATGATGCGTCGCATCAGGCTAGTCTCTCTAATTTACATTTACTACACAAAAACATATTACAATTATTTATTTTTATGCTCGTAATTATTGTAAATTATTTTAAAACGTACGAACCCATTTACGCATATGTACAAGCGCACATAAATACTTTTATTTAGTGAGCTATACGTATGAAAAATGGGGGGATGTTTACGAAAAGATGGGCTCTTAAAAAGACGCGAAACTTTATCTTGAGTAAATGAAAGTCGTCTAAGAAATGAAACCATGTTCGTTCGCAGAAGTATGAACTGGGATAATGAGAAGAAAAATAAAAATCATGATTAAACAGATTATTACGAAAATTATACAAGTTTGTAAGAAAGAAGAGGATTTATAAGAAAAAGAAAGGGATTTGTAAAAAAGTAGGTTGACTGTATAAGACTTTCCATAGGTTGAGCGTGACACAATGCACGTCTTATTTCACTGGTTTGTTTACTAAATCACAACTATTAATTATGTACACGATAAGTTTTAAGTGAAGTCCATAGCTTATACGAATTAGTAGGCGTTACTGTGTTTATTGAGTCACCTGTAACTTCAGTGTACTGTACTTGTAAGAAATTCATCATATTCAAGAAAGAGGTTTTATAATTATTTCATATCACCTATCACGTTGATATAATTCACTATGTTTTGATTATTTAAGTTGTCGACTTACACAAGTTTCACACATTTTTTTTTCCATTCAGTACAGCGTAAAACAATAACGACACTGGTACAGGGACAGTGGCGTGGAGGGCTGAGCACATACCAAGTGGAGTGAATCTGGTCGCTGTTGACAATACAAGGGGGAATGAGAAAAATATGATAATCCTTGATATAATTTTAGCCTTCGCTGTGAAAAGAGAGGGTTGTAGACTTGGCAAGAACCACTAGGTTAAGTGAGAGACGATCTGTGGTGTGTGGACTGGGGAGACGCTGCCAGCCACCCTGAACCCAGCACCCAGTTCTCCCCACTACCTATACACCACACTGTGTTGATTTGCCCGTATAACACTACTAGCAGTGGAGGCTACTAACATCGGCGAGAGACTGGTGGATGATCTCATATACTTAGATATTCAACTGTTCATCATCCTACTTTTAAGAAAATTGTCCAATTGATCTGAGTGTATTCATATCTATTCTAGAAAATTTCCTACTTGCTTAAACAGAAGTCATATGTATTTTTAAGAAATGTACTTTTCAATCCCTCAATTCCCTAAAGCTAGAGGCAAGTGGGTAATGGACTAGAAACGTGTTATGCTGGGTGAGGGAGGGTTGGGTGGGGCATTAATGTACAGGGTGTCTGGCCGGCCACATCAGACCTCAGGCTTACTCCCATCTTGGGTCTACAGACCTTGGTGGATCTGCCTCATCTTACAGTCATTATCTCGGAGGGTTCTGTTCTCAGGCTTTAGATAGATAGAAACGACGCGCGACCTAAACTTTGGTCCGTAACGTAGGACACTAGATATTTTTGTGACCCTTGTCCATACTATTAGTTTTTTGTTCAGAGTACGCACGCATCACAACTTTTTATGCTGTGCTCACAGGTGCCTCCATGTCATGTATCACGTTTTGTTTTGTATTTTCACGAGCCATACAGGTTAATGTCTCGCGTGTTGCCTGGGTGTTTGTGCCAATGTACCCATATTGTATATTACATGTCTTTTCCTTTAATTGACCCCAGGACACACATAATTAAGTACTAATTGATATGGAGGTTAATATAACAGGAGTGCTTAGGGGTTGGTGTAATGAAGAAAGGCGTGCACAGTGTGAGGCAGCGGTGGAAGGGTAAGTGGATGTCAGGCGGGCTGTGGGGTTAGCCTTAGCTGGCCTCTGCCCCTTGTGGCTTATTCTCATCCCAACCCACCCTAGCCCCACCCAGCCCCACCCAGCCCCATTCGCCTCTGGTGAGTGTTACACTTTCAGTTCCATAAGAAGGTTGAGAAGGAACGAATCTGAATTAGTGTTGTAATGACCGTAACACACCGTGTTGAAAGAACATGAAGCTTGGATATTTGGCAGGTCTGTAAGTCAGCTATATCAGCTCATAATTTATTATTATGGAGTATCACTTCATCTGGAGACTGGATGTCGTGCTAAGGTATTTTGTCATCTTTGTTAGGTACAGGAAAAGACATAAAATTAATTAATGCCATGATCAGAAAAACTTCTACCAATAAACATGGACAGATACTTTCAGTCACTGTTCTCACAAGCGCCAGTCATTTCATCACGAGCAACCTTAACTCAACAAAATTCATTCATACCCTGCAATTAGCATTTTGTGAAACTGCTTTTACTTGTTTTTATATGTTATATAACATCCTACAGTTTAAAATGTCCATATTCAAATTTCTTCAGCCTTTAACGAGGGAACAATTTGGTGAATAGCTCTAACAACGACACTTGGTTGATCTCTCCCTGCACTTAAAGTTGTTAAGGAAAATGTTGTTTATAGCGCGCTTGCTTCTCTTCGTTACGACCAGAGTTCTATTTCTGCTTGGATCAGGTGTGTGAAGAGGGTGTTGTTCAGTGTGACATTACCGACCATCACAGGTTCTCTCCGGGTACTTTGATATAGTTCATTACTAACATTTAGACGTGAAGATCAAGATACTGTATACAGGCCTGACGCCTTCCTTCAGCATAGTCATTAAAAAAAAAAGGAAAAAGAATAAACAGTTTGGTCCCTGTGAACACACCCGCTCTGATAGACAGATTTGTATTGCTTACCATCAAGTGTTAGAACCGTGGCAAGTTGGGTGTGGGTGCCACCTTCCACCCACCACGCGTCTAATGTTGCGTTCCGCCACCTGCTGCATTCATGCAGACGACTGTGACCTCTCTTTACCCTGGGCTCGTCACTATGCAGTTTGCTTTCTCCTGCATAATACAACGTTTAACTGTGAGTGAAGGCAGTGGCCACGTCCGGTCGACGATACCCATGGCTCTCTAGCTTGCTTTCATTACCGTTATTTACACTGGAACACAATTTGATATTACTGTATATTCGCAATAACAGACTGCATGTTTACCATGGACTGGTAATTTATTTACGATTAAATTTGTCACTTGAGGATAGTACTTTCGTATATTGTTTTTGTTGTTTTATGCTTAGGGTTTAGATAGAATAAAGATATCGCTGGAATCACGACTCAACTGCGGAAGCGGGTGAATTGATTCCCTTGATGTCACGAATTCAAGACAAGTAGTTGTAGCTTGGAGTCTCACTGGTCACGATGATAGCAACCTACTATGGCCATTACTACCACCTCCCTCACTCACACCACTACTACAGGTCACACTGCAATGTGAGGTGACGAACAGGCAACGTGTCCTCCGTGCTGGTAGTAGTACTCAAGTACTCAATGTCGGAGTTTATGCAATGTGGTCATTTTAGTCCTTCCATGAGTGTGTCTGCACACTCATACACAAAAAGATTTTTGACTACAGGGAAAACATTTTCATCAGTAATTGTTAAACTAATAATCTAATTTTCATTTCCTTAAATATGGTCTTTAAATCTTCGAGTTTCACTTTGGATGAGAGTCAGTTCCTTTGCCATTTACCCATGGGTTTTTATATATAATTTTGTCACGATACATCCAAGTTACTAGGGTGTAGCATTGTATTGACTAATGTAGAATCGTCGCTATTATCTGATTACAATGCTCTTGCTCCATATCCATCAAACCTTGTTAACTTGACTGAATCACAGCCTTGTAAATTAAGAGAGGCACTAAAGTTCCCTCTTATTTACCTGTAGACACTGTAGTCTTGGACCTATATTGTTACGAAGGTCAAACATCTTTCTCTTTACCGATTGGTCGTACAAAGTATTAAGGCGTGATCACACGTGCCAAATGTCAATGGAAAATCAATGATTCCAGCAACTTTGTCTATCAAAACAACACTCAGTCGCCGCGGCGACAGTTACTCTCAAACTCTGTTGTTATAATGTTCTTACTGCGCCTCAACAACTAAGGAACGCAACCACGCACGTTTTTTTTTTCTTGCGTTTAACCTTCTTTAACTGAATTTGCATGTTTATAAGGAACTGATAGCCGCTGCTGTCACGTATGCCCATTACGTACGTGGATGCCATTGCCTGTTTTGGTTGCTAATTGTTAATGTGTGTGAGATTTTTTAATTTTGCCGCGGACAGCAGCTAGTTTATTGTACACTGTAAACAGTAGCGCAAAAGGAAAACAATGGAGATCACAAAGGGTGTTTATCAGACCCCAGTGGTCAGATCGACGTTTGCTTAAGTACAAGATGCGAACTGTGCATACCGCTTTAGTATATCAGCTATCTTGCCATGGAATATAAAAAGTGCTACGCCATTGTATACACGGTAGGCATATGCTTGGATATGTCCCTTAAAGGTTCTATTTTTTCACAGTCTAAGACGTAGTGCTGCCATATGTCTGGCCGCCGCACACTTTACATTTAGTTTTGTTCACATACTGCCAGAGGCACTTACAGTATATCTTAACCTTAGTCTAGCGGTTACAACATATCGTAATCTGATGATCTTGTTACTTGGTCCATATACTGTTTTACTTGTTACATCTCATCATGGTAAACAGTGAATTGACTTGTGCTTGTTTGCACTGTCTAATGGTTTCAAATTCATCAACAAGTTCTTTCCTGATTACTGTTTTTAAGATTCTGTTGTATTGTGCGTTATCAGGTCTGGCACAGTACGCGACCTTCGGACCCGACGACGACTTCCCTCTGCCGCCCCCAGACGAGGCCCCGCCGCCCCCATCGCCGCCCTCGCCAGTCTCCTCTTCCTACTCAGAGCTGCGCCGCGCCACGCCCTCCACACACGCCCCAGCACACCATAACGGCGGCGGTCCTCATACCCCTACCCAGCAGCAACAACAACATGGCGGCAATTATGGAACTTACACCCCTGGATCACACACTGTAAGTCACCAATCTTTATTTTTTCCTAGTGTCATATATGCCAAGTTGGTTATTTCCTAGTGTGTCATATGTCAAGTTGGTTATTTCCTAGTGTCATATGTCATGTTGGTTATTTCCTAGTGTCATATGTCATGTTGGTTATTTCCTAGTGTCATATGTCAAGTTGATTATTTCCAAGTGTCATATCAAGTTGGTTATTTCCTAGTGTGTCACATGTCATGTTGGTTATTTCCTAGTGTGTCATATGTCATGTTGGTTATTTCCTAGTGTGTCATATGTCAAGTTGGTTATTTCCTAGTGTCATATGTCATGTTGGTTATTTCCTAGTGTCATATGTCATGTTGGTTATTTCCTAGTGTGTCATATGTCAAGATGGTTATTTCCTAGTGTCAGTCAGTGTCATGATGGTTATTCCCTAGTGTCAGTCAGTGTCATGATGGTTATTCCCTAGTGTCAGTTAGTGTCATATTGTTCAAATGTTTCATCTCGCTCTTGTTATTACCGTTACTTGTGTTTTATTACCCCTGATATTATTCTAAATTTGAGTTGTTGTTTACCGACTCTTACGAACCAGGTGTGTGTGTGTGTGTGTGTGTGTGTGTGTGTGTGTGTGTGTGTGTGTTCAGTTTTGGTGGTGTTAGAATGGTGTTGCGAGGTGTGGGTGTATGATGTTTACACCAGCTGGTCTGGTTACAGTGAGTCATTCTCAGGGGTGTTGTCCTTGTCTTGTTTACTGTGGTTCTCTCATGCAAGATGCCTCTGGTGGTGGTGTTGGTCACTTCTCTGCTCTGCTGTGATGTGTGTGTGTGTGTGTGTGTGTGTCGTCCTCAGAGGTGTTCACTTTTAACTATGTGGTTGGTCGCTCCTCTGTCAAGTTCAACGTGCAACACCGTATTTTTTTCTTAAGCGAACATTCTTGGCCAGCATTCCCCGTCCACTAGAGGAAGCACATCAGTAATTGTGGTTCACCTTAATGCTGAATGTTGTATTTTGCTTGTCGATGAGCTTCGTGACCAGGTGGGTATCGTTACACACTACCTCCTGCTACACACACATATATCGCTTCACTCTCTCATCAACATTACAAGGAATTCTAAATACTGGGAAACGAGCTATTTTCTTTAATATATGTGTATACCGGTAACGGGTGACGCAGTTAGGGTGAAAAAACAATTCGTGAGTATTGTAGGCAGTGGTAGGCTAGGTTAACGGACGCCATGTTAGGACTCAGAAGGCCACCAATACCAGTGGGGCGAGGGAGGCGCTCCACCGGGTCCTCCTGTTGCGCCCGCTCACCTGTTGCTCTTCCCCTTCCCCTCCAGCGGTGGTCTGGATGGGGAGGGGTAAGCGGTAGTCAACAGTAGCTGAGGCACTGATCGGGCTCACATGAAGCTTCCTGTCTTTGTTGAGTCAAGTGGATAGATGCATCACCTGAACACTTGGTGGGGAAGATTGGTGGCTGACAAATGTATTGATGTAAAGGGATAAAAGTCTGGTGGGTATCCGTAAAAGGTGCTCCGGGGAGTTAAAGAGGTGTGGCGAGCCAGACACAGCGGCCAGACAGACGGGGTGACCCGTGGCTGCTGTTTGGTGGACACCTGCCACCCGCCACAGTCAACACACCTCCATTCTCCTGCCACCACTTATCATACCAGTTGGGCAGTTACATCCTCACTGTCTCATCCTCCAGCTGCCACAACCTGTGTACATGACACTGGTACAGGACAGGTAACCTGGTATACCTCGGGTGTGTAAGTCGGGTAATGCTGCCAACATTACAATACTAGCACGTCTGTACAGCTGCGTGAGACTCATCCTAACGACAACGCCGCTTGGAATCTAATTTTTCTGAACGACATAACAACAGCTGAACTTTATCTCGGAGTAAATGTGTTCACTTCAGATGCAATACGGAACACTGGAAGATGAAAAGACTTCATTATAGTGACGATGCGATCTTGGAAGGTTCGTAATTTATATTAATGTCCTTAATTAACTGGTAGGTAGTGTTGATGTGTCCAGGGGTATCTTGTCTCGTCAGTCGTCAGGACCTTCTCTTGTTTACGAAGTCCCACCAACACCTCTCCTCAAAAGTCTTGAACAGCTTACATTTATTCCGACTTCTTTGTGTTAATCAGAAGTACTGTATGACATCCTAGTAGTGTTGTAGTTTACAATAAATTAATATAATCTTGGTAGCCATCATCTTGCAACTTTGGATGGAGCACTTTGAAACTTATTGGGTGCGTTTGCTTTTATAGCGTTAAGCGTTGAAGCTTAAAAGATAACCCAAGATCCGCTTTTTCGTTTTCCCTTTTTAGTTATAAAAGCTGCTCAGAAAACTAATGAAAAACATATCAAATTTTTTTATACGTAAAAAATTTGATCAAGTTTTTGGCGGAGGGGCGGCATCAATACTTGTAGATCAGGTGGACTAACAGTAATGAATTGGGCAGTGGCCGTCTGTATTAACCTAACGAAAACACAATATTGTCGAAACAATTATTTTCTTTCATTGACTTTCATGTCAATTAAAAGCGGCATATGGTGCCTGGCTGGTGAGAGGTTGTTGTTCAGTTGGTCTGGACTCAGGATATTATTGTGGAGATAAGTGGTGTATTCTTTTTGTACTGTTCAAGTGCATATTAAGGCTAATGTTAGGGCTTAGGTTGATTTAGGCTGTGGCTCTCAATATTTCATTGTTTTCCTTTACATGTCCCTTGTATATACGTTCTTTAATATTATTATACTAATTTATGCAGTGTATGATTTCTCCTCACTATGATACCCATTAGTTTGAGTTAATGAGGCTTGGGGGAGGTAATACGAATTGCTATAAGGTTTACCCTGCGTATAGATGTGACCACTAGGGGTGTTTCTCAATGCTATCACGATCAAGCCTCGCCTCTTATTTTGACTAGTGGCAGAATCCTGATAAGTGAGGGAAGTAATACAACATGGGTTGTATTAAGGTGAAACAAGGGGACAGAAACTCTCAGTATCATGTTTTGACAGCAAATATATAATTAATGCAATGGTAATTTCTATTTACATGGCGGTATATGATATAACGGCTATGATGGTACAATTAAATCAAGTGTTAAAAAAAATATTAATATATATTTTTTAAGAGGTGATTTATAGGAAGGGACCGTGGTGTTGGTGAGGGGAGATGACGGAGGTGATGGTATGGTGATGGGTTAGTAGTGGTGGCAATGATTGTTCGTAGTTGTGACAGCAAGGAGCTAGTGTTGGTGGTAGTGAGGGGTTTGTGGTGGTAGTTGTGAAGGGGTGGAGTTTGGTGGTGGTGATTGATTTTGATTTTGCCTCTTACAGCGGCTACTTTATTGTGCACCCCACACTCATCCTGTGAGCGGTAGCGCAAAAGGATTACAGAGTAGAGTTTACAACGGGTCATAATAATTAACCCCCGTTGTCAAGATATTATGGCACTGAATGTTACACAGTATTTCAATTACATTATATGTTTAGTTCTATACATAAAGGGTAACTTATTCACAAATGCGTGAGTACAGGCGTGTGAGGCAGTATGTCTGGCCCCACACTGTTATTCACATTTGCATGAGAAGTATTCAAGCACATTGTGTATTTGGTTCTGTACATGAGAACTGATATCGTTACTAAGTGCAAAAAAGTGGATACAATCTTAATATGTCGGCTATCTTGTGGTAGTGGTAAGAGAAGGTAGAGTTGGGGGTCGTGGTGGTCGCTGTGTGGGGGGTGTTGGTGGTCATCATGGGTTGGTAAGATGGTGATAGGGGGGGGGCTGTAGTGATGGTGAGGAAGTGCTGGCAATAACGTGTGGTGGGTGGTGATGGTGAAAGGATGGTGGTTGATAGTAGTAGACGTAAAGGAGTAATTGTGGAGGTGGGGTGTTGGGTAGTAGGAGGAGGGGTGTTGGTGGTAGTGAGGGAGGTGTTGGTAGAGGGGGTGTTGGTGGTGGTGAGAGGGTGGTGGTGAGGGGGGTGTTGGTGGTAGCGAGGGAGGTGTTGGTAGGTAGTAGAGGGAGGGTGGTAGTTGTGGGGGGGTGTTGGTAGTAGGAGAGGGTGTGGTAGGAGGAGGTGTTGGTGGTAGTGAGGGAGGTGTTGGTGAGGGTGGTAGTTGGTGAGGGGATAATGGAGTTGAGGGTGGAGTGGAGTGGAGAGGTGATGGTAAGGGGTTGGTGGCTGGTGAGGGCAGTAGTTGGTAGTGGTGAGTGGGTGGTGATAGTGAGGGGATGGTGTTGTTGGTGAGGGGGTGTGAGTGGGTGGTGGTAGTGAGGGGGTGGTGGTAGTGAGGGGTTGATGGTGGTGCCAGGGGATGGGAGGAGAACGGGGTTGAGAGAAGTTCATGCAAGATATGCAAGATCACACACACACACACACACACACGGGGTCGCCCTCCTCTCTCCCCCGTTGCTGCTGCTTGGTGTGGTGGTGTTGGTGCTGCCGTATAAGGCCATCTTGGCACATCTCTCTCTTGGTGGTGGTGGTGATGGTTCCTGGGCTACCAAGGGCTAAATTTAGATCAGTCCAAGTGGTGGACACCAACGCTACTCTACTTTGTCATACCCTACATAGTTCCTTGATGGATTCCAGAGCTCTGTGGTAAGTGTGGACAAGCCTGGTATGACCGCGCCGTAGGCATGAGTGAGGTGCCGGCGCGGTGTAGTATTGTGAGCCAGGCGGGGCACGGAGACTGTACCGCCTCGCGCGGCTACACTCCCACTCACTGGGTAAAATAAGGGGAGTGAGTGGCACTCATTATGAACGCTGCTGGCTACACCACGGTGGATCCATGCGCCAAGCTGTTGTCCTAATCGGGCACGTTCTGTGGGGTATCCGTTCCGTCACCCCCTCGTCATCACTTTCACTCTCGGACCAGCCAATCACGGACGCGGACGGGCATACGTCATAAGTTACCTCACAACTTGGAGCCAATGAACGTTGTGGGTAGGCGTGGTGGGCGGATGCTGTAGCAACCCATGTGTCGGGTTAGCC